GGGTTGACATGTCGTGGGGTTGTTAACCAATGTCATAAAACAATATGTGTACTGACTGTTTAATGAGAAACTATTTGTTCTGTAAACCTTCACCTAAAGTACAATTTAAAAAAAAACAACATACTGTATGATTCCAACCACGTGACATTCTGGAAAAGGCAAAACTATACAGACAGTGAAAAGATCAGTGGTTGCCGGGGTCAAGGGGAGGAGGGAGGGATGAATCAGTAGAGCACAGGGTATTTTTAGGGCAGTGATACTACTCTGTATGGTATTGTAATGGTGGACACATGACATTATCCATTTGTGAAAAATCATTTGTTGTTGTTAGTTGCTGAGGAGTCAATTCCAACTCATGGCGACCCTCCTCGTAGGACTGTACCACGTGAAGAGTGAACCCCAGTGAAACTATGGACTCTAGTTAATAATAATATTTCAGTGCTGGTTCATCAGTTGTAACAAATGTGCCACACGAATGCCAGATGTCAACAATAGGAAACTGTGTGTTGGAGGAGGGGGGTATATGGTAACTCTTTGTACTTACAGTAAAATTTTTCTCTAAGTCTCAAACTGCTCTAAAAAATAAAGTGTATTAATTAAAAAACCCACAAATACAATTTTTTCAATGGAGTAGCTTTTACTAATTTACATGGCACTCCCACATCAATGGTCTTATTTTATCCCTACAACTACCTTGACATGTAGGGAGTCCCGGTTATTTGATGAAACTGAGACTCAGGAACATTTAACCTGGGATTTCTGGTTCCAAATCTCATCCTGTCCCTCTAAATCTGAATATAGTAATTGCCAGGGTTACCACGGACAACTTTTGCTTACGCTTTAATGTTGTGTAAATTTTCCCTCACTTTGAAATGATTGAATTAACCCCTACTTGCAATAAATTATTCATCACAGTCACCTTCACTTGCTGCACATGCGGCTTTTAAATCATTGAAAAGAGTTAGAGCCTTTCCTTGCACTAAAGGCTAAATCAAACCGTATGCACCTGCTCCAGTCTACCTACAAATTTGTCTTAAAGGCATACTCAGGAACTGAGCTCATTCATAACCCGAGGACTAGCTGTATAGCATCTTGCGTATAAACTTATAGATGAGGTTTTTAGGGTAGTACATAGCTCCCCCTCTTTGTTCACAAACACTTGCGGCATAGGGGAGGGGAGGAAGAATTAAATAGCACTCAGTTTTCTGTTAGGTCATCGATACTAGGTTGGACATTCTACACTGATCTCAGAATAAGAGAGACTGGGTTTTAGATCCAGACAATAATTAGCTCTTCATAATTCTGAAGGCTGAGACCCTGGAGAAGTCCAGTTACATTACAAGCTGTCCATTTCTCATTCTGAAGAATGAGGATCTTATGAAGGGTTTGCAGGACTCTTTTAAGTACACTATGTTTGAACCCACCCAGCAGTACCAAGGAAAAAAAAGCCTGGCGATCTGCTTCCGTTAAGATCACAGCCAAGAAAACCCTATGGAGCAGTCCTACTCTGTAACGCTTGGGGTCACCATGAGTGGGCATTGACTCAACAGCAGTTCACAACAACGAAGTCAGCACAGAAGCTGGCGTAGAGTAGGTATTCAGTGAGTGGTAGTTTTCATGATTGGTTGTTATTTACCATGCAAGACACCGTGAGCCTTCCTGGATCCCTCGTCCAGTCTGCTTCCTTTATCAAACACCAGCCCGTCCTTACGTTCAAATGTTCCTCCTCTCCACCCCTCCCCAAAGCCAGGGGACACCCACTTCTCAGCACAGTCATTCCTGCCCATCCCACACACCGTACAGTTTGAAGAGCTGCTTGACATCAGGCCCTGTGAGCAGGTGCTTTAAAACCTCATCCACATCATCCACGGCTTCCCCGTCGTTCACTGGCCAGGACTTGGTAATCACAGCAGACACGAGTTTGCCAAATTTCCGCAAATCATAAGGGGAGAGACCATCAAGGATGCTGGTCTGAGACTATCAGAAAATTAACAGAGAGGGAAAGTTAGAAGTTTTTTATTGGCTGGTTTTTAAATAGCACAGTTACCCACCCAAGACTATTTCAGAAATCTATTGTAACGAGTTTTAAAAGGCCTCGAAAGAGCAAATTAGTAAAATATGTAACATTTCTTAGAGCCTTTCTGTTTTCCTGTGTACTGGTTCTGTTTCCTTGTAACTGACAGAACCATTTCTACTTTATAAATCTTACTCCCATAAATGCTGTGTACATCTTTTAGAGTCTTTTAGTGCATTTCTGCTTAACAAGGAGCAGTGATAGTAATGGGGATCTTTTAGGGGCTGCCTGCAAGTGTGCTTGATTTGAGGTTACATGGGAGTGGCCGTGATTTCACATTGCCTGTAAAGCCCATCTGTTGTTAACTGCCATTAAGTCAGCCCCCCGACTCTTGGCAGCCCAGTGCACAGTGGAACAAAATGCTGCCTAGTCCTGCACCATTTCCATAATCGGTTGTGGAGTGGACCACTGGGATCTGTGAAGAACCCAAAAATCTAGGTGCTTGGCATAGGAGAGGCTTCTACCCAAGCTACAGGCCAAACTCCATTTTGTATTGAGCTAACAGACCTGAAAAATAAGAGTCATTTCAGCTGAGCTCACAGTAGTGGGTTAATCTGTACTGACTCAGGGAGAAAGGGGAGGAGGAGTGACAGAACTGCAGCTGCTCTTGAAAAAAATGTTTTGTACCAGCTGCCCCTATCCTTGAAAGATAAGTAATTATAACCATTTTCTCAAAATGCTTATGCAGGATAGCTCCAGGACAGGACACCTATAGATTAACTAATGTATCACTTACAGTTATTAATGTGTGACTAATGGTTACTGTTTCCCTAAGCTTCTCCTATATAAAAGCCCTTCTCATTTTCTGTACTTGGGGGCAATTTGTAATTTTCCAAATTGTTGCCCAACTGCAGTTGTAATATCCCTCAATAAAACTTTTTCATTTTTAACAGAGACTCCAGTTTTACTCCTTGACATCTGTGATGTCAGAACGGTGGGATTCCAAGGTGCATTATCTTCTGTGACCTGAGAACTTGAGGACTTGGAGCTTTGGTACCAAGCACAAGCCCCTCGAGCTCATTCATCTCCAAAGACTCTTGGGAGTCGTCATAAGGTAAAAAAAAACCTCTCAAATTTCGAGCTTCCATCCTTGTGTAGACCTTTTTGAGATTAATTACAGGATCTGGTTTCATTTTGTTCTTGCAAGAATTTACCTCTGCTCATGGCAGTTGTAGAGGTTCAGGGTTTTGCACAAATCGCTCTCCTAGAAGTTTTCAAGTTTGTGGAATCTCAGGCTCTATAAGTTACCCCATCAGGTTTTTGTTGAGTCTGAGAGTCCTAAACTTTGACCAAACTCAAACCTTCATTGAAAATGGGAAATGAACTAGAAGGTCAGACATGTCTGACTATGATGTCAAATCCATAAGGTTTTCACTGGCTGTTTTTCTGAAGTAGATTACCAGCCCTTTCTTCCAAGTCTGTCTCACTCTGGAAGCTCTCCTGAAACCTGCTCAGCATCACAGCAGCACACTAGCCTCCACTGAGAGATGGGTGGTGACTGCATATGAGGTGCATTGGCTGGGAATTGAACATGGGTCTCCCACATGGAAGGTGAGAATTCTACCATGAACCACCACTGTCCTCATAACAGCCATCTAGAACCCCTAAATGTGCTCATGAGGAACCTGTACATAGACCAAGAGGCAGTCATTCAAACAGAACAAGGGGATACTGCGTGGTTTAAGGTCAGGAAAGTTGTGTGTCAGAGTTGTATCCTTTCATCATACTTATATTCAATCTGTATGCTGAGCAGCTAATCCGACAAGCTGGATTATGTGAAGAAGAACACGGCATCAGAATTGGAGGAAGACTCATTAACAACCTGTGTTACGCAGATGACACAACCTTGCTTGCTGTAAGTGAAGAGGACTTGAAGCACTTGTTGATGAAGATCAAAGACCACAGCCTTCAGTATGGATTACACCTCAACATAAAGAAAACATCTTCACAACTGGACCCATCAGCAACATCATGATAAACGGAGAAAGATTGAAGTTCTCAGGGATTTCATTTTACTTGGATCCACAATCAACACCCATGGAAGCAGCAGTCAAGGAATCAAATGACGGCATTGCATTGGGCAAATCTGCTGCAAAAGACCTCTTTAAAATGTTGAAAAGCAAAGATGTCACTTTAAGGACTAAGGTGTGCCTGACCCAAGCCGTGATATTTTCAGTTGCCTCATATGCATGCCAAAATGGGACAATGAGTAAGGAAGACTGAAGAAAAATTGATGCCTTTGAATTATGGTGATGGAGAAGAATATTGAATTTACCATGGACTGCCAGAAGAATGAACAGATCTGTCTTGGAAGAAGTACAGCTAAAATGCTCCTTAGAAGCTAGGATGGCGAGACTTCATCTCACATACTTTGGACATGTTATCAGGGGGGACCAGTCCCTGGAGAAGGACATCATGCTTGGTAAAGTGAGGGTCAGCGAAAAAGAGGAAGACCTCAACGAGATAGAGTGACACAGTGGCTGCAACTATGGGCTCAAGAAAAACGACGATTATGAAGATGGTGCAGGACCGGGCAGTGTTCCATTCTGTTGTACATAGGGTCGCTGTGAGCTGGCATCGACTCCACGGCACTTAACAATAACAGTAGCATCCAGCTGAGCGGCATTTCAAAGACTGGGTAGAGGGTACCAGGTTTCAGAACCATTCCACTAGGCCAGTGAGGGCGACGCCCACTTCCCGCTCCCCCTTGTGCCAGCACAGGGTCTCAGGCCCCACTGGGGCTTAGCAGTCCGTCTTTAGCTGGTGGACTAAGAACACAGCTACGGACCCTAACACATTTTCCAAGTCAGAGCGGCTGGTTACCTGGCAGGCCGAACTCACGGCTTCAATGACGCACTTCTCAAAGCTCTTAGCCACACTGTCGTCCAGGCCTGAGGCATCCCAGCCGGTGCTACAGTAGGCCGCGATCTGCAAGAGCGGCCTCTCCTGCAAGAGTGGAAATGCGATCTGTGGAGCCCTCCCGTGCTGTGCTCTAGTGCACGGGGGAATAGAAGGCCCTGGGTGTTTCTGCCTTCCTGCTGTTGTATCAGTCTCCCAGTATTTTAATCTTCTCCCTACCCCACACCGAGCATGTCCTCCCTGCCCCCACCATTACAAGGCTAAAATAAAGAGGCTTCACACTTGCAGAAAAAGCACCCAGCACAGCAGCTTACAAAAACAGCTAAACTTTGATAAATTAGTGACTTTTCTCTGCTTGTATTCTCCTAAAAAGAGCCTTTTAATACTTACATATAAAACTCTCATATCATGTAAAAACTAATTTTCCTAGAGTTACGGTCCTTAATTCAAAATGAAGAGCATTTCTGTGCTTTCCCTACTGGTCGGTGTGTTTAATAACACTCCTGTCACCAGCAGGCCACTTGGAGCTATGGCATATGGAGGGCTTTACCCCACTTATGCCTTAGGGTCCCTGTGGTGGCAAGATCCGAGATATCCTCCGGAATATCACGACCAAACTTTGAAATGTTCACTGGGATCAGGCTACTGAGCCTGATCAGAAATGGAAATATAAACCTTGACTTAGTTCCTGCCCTGCACACAGTCAGGCTTTCCATTCAAGTGCAGCGCTCATGTTTACCTGTCGTTACTAGTGGACTGGTGTTATCAAACTTCCCTTTGCCCCCTGGAAGAGCGCCCCCAGACTGCTGGTACCTGTTTGAGTCTCCCTTCCAGGTCTCCCAGCAACGCCTCCTTCCAGCCATGTTCCACAGGAAAGTGTATTTCCACCAGCCGCCTCCAGACCTGCAAAACCCACACATTCATGGCAGCCACTGTGCCAGCTAATGATTTTGTCAGGAACAGTGGAAAAATCTGGGAATGGGTAAGGTTGATGGTTGGACAACATGATGAACATAATTGATGTCACTGAACTGTGCATGTGAAGCTTGTTGAAGTATCACAGGTTTTGTTACATATATAAATCAAACCCATTACTGTCGAGTTGAGTGGGACTCATAGCAACCCCATGTGACAGAGTAGAACTCTGCCCCACAGAGTTTTCTAGGCTGTAATCTTTTTTTTTTTTTTTTATTGTGCTTTAGGTGAATGTTTACCGAGCAAATTAGTTTCTCATTAAACAACTAATAGACATACTGCTTTGTGACATTGGTTGCCAACTCCACGACATGTCAACGCTCTCCCCTTCTCCACCTCGGGTTCTCCATTTCCATTTGTCCAGCTTTCCTGTCCCCTCCTGCCTTCCCGTCCTTGCCCCTGGGCTGCTGTGACCATTGAGTCCTGTTTTGTTTCATGGGCCTTTCTAATCTTTGACTGAATGGTGAACCTTGGGAGTGACTCCAGTTCTGATTTAAAACGGTGTCTGGGGACCACAGTCTTGGGGCCTAGGCTGTAATCTTTACAGAAGCAGACTGCCACATCTTTCTCCTGCAGAGCGACTGGTGGGTTAGAACCACCAGCCTTTCCATTAGTAGCCGGGTACTTAACCACTGCACCACCAGCCCTCTTCTGTTACATAGTTACCACAATTAAAAAAAAAAGTATGACATGAATCAATTAAAAAAGATGAAGTCTGCCAATAAACCTTACTCATGAAATGATTTTTTTAAAAAATAAAATAAATAAATAAATAAAATAAAAATTTTATTTCACTGATTTTAAAAAAGTGTTATTTTATGAAAAAAGACCAGGATCATCATGCAAAGAGCACTGGTCTACGAGGACACATGGGTTCTGACCCACCTTTGTCACTGGTGAGCAGGGTTAGTGGGACGTCATGTAACCCTCCTAGCCTTATAAAATGAAGGGCACTGATTGGACTAGCTCATTCCGCTGTGTAATCAGTTTCTTCTGCAAGCATTTTTCTCCCATTTTTTATTGTGAAAATTTTTCAGCTGACAAAAGAGTTACAAGAATAGCACACATCACCCATATATCCTCAACCAGATTCACCAATTGTTAACATTCAACACAGCTGCTCTGTCTTTTCCTTGCTCTTTGATGAAGGCCAACAAAGAAATTGTTAATTGTTCTTTCTGTCTTTCTCTCTCTATAAGCATTTTCTTTGCTGAGCCAACTGAAAGGAAGTTGCAGACACCATGAGGCTTCACCCCTAAGTACCTGGGCAGGTGTCTCCTATTAACAAGGCCTTCTGCTACACAGCTGCATTCAGAACGCTAAGTGCAGGTGTCACACTCAGGACAGTTAGCCTTGACACGATCCGACTGTCCAGGGCACAGACCACGTAGGATTTCCCTGAGTGGCCACCCCACGTCCTGTCCAGCTGAATTCCTGGATCAGGATCCAGCCCAGGAACACGTACTGCATTTATTTATCAGGCTTCTTTTGTTAATGTGCTTTTCCTCTGCTTGAGGCTGAATGAACAGTGGCAGAGCCTGTGCCCTGTACTCAGTCTGCGTGAGCTTCACTCCTGACTCCTCCACTCACACCGCACGTCTCCGAAACTTGGTTACCTGTTTGTACAACAGCACCACCCTCCTTGTGGACATCCAGTTACATTTTAATGATTATTGCCATGATCACTGCGCTCACTTAGAACCACTCTTTCACGTCAGTGCGTCAACAGCTGTCCTTACCCCATACTTAATGCTTTCAGGATGACCCCATTTAGAATCCTGCAGTAATACTTAATTCACTTCTGTTTGGGTGGTATTTCCATCCATTAGTCTGAAACTTCACACTGCAGTTAGAGAAGGATCTTTAATTAAAAGGCACAAGTATTGGCCTTTGCAGCTTCCTATCTTGATGAACAGACATTGGCACACTGGCCTGGGTCCTGCAAGAGGCACAGAAGTGTCTGGAAGTTGGCTGTGAATTCAGTTCCAGCGTCTCAAGAGTCAGGGATATTGCACTGCCCCAGGCGGACACAGCCAGGAAGAACCACCGTGGCTCTGTGATGTGAGAATGTGGCCAACTTGTCTCACAAACATCCACTAAAGCGCTGGTGGTGTCAGAGGGAGGACTGCCAGCCTCCAGGGGGCCTGAGCCTTTGTTGGCGATGCTCCTTCCTCCAGGCTCGTGTCCCAGAGGTGCAGGAGCGGGGTCGCTATGAGTCGGAACCGACTCGATGGTACCTGACAACAACAACAACAACTGCACCGCGATTCAAAACCCCCCAGCGGTTTCTCCGCTTCCGGCAAGGCTCACCTCCACCTCCTCAGGGTACCTGAAGGAGACTCCCGAAGGATGTGAGCTCTGGAACATTTTGTTTGCAAAAATACGTTGAAGCCAACTTCTAGTAGCGGTAAGAGCTCCCTGGAATACCATTTTTACTGAATCCTTCTTCCCGATTTCACTGCCGTGCATTTCTGCCCAGTCCTGTTATCATATGAGAGAGAGAGTTCAGTTGTTCTCAGACACAGTGGATTCAGGTTTTCAAAGAGACCCTGCACTTTGGCCTCCCCTGGATCATCGGGCGTACCAGCAGATGCTCAATAAATAGCTACAGTTAAGTTGCACATATATGTTCAGACCCACCAGGGTGGTAAGGAGCCTACATTTTCAAAGCACTTTAATTTTCCCAGAATTTCGGGTGTTCAGTGTGAAAGTGGGAGGTATGGGGGAACATGGGGGAGTCCGAATGGCATTGATTTTCCAGATGGAGGTCTCCCCAGGCTTCAGTCAAAGTAGAGGTAGACCCTGCCTCACCAGCACGCTGACATCCATGGGCTCTGGTGGGAGGAAAGGGGGTCATGCAGCTTCCAGAGGGGTGAGGCAGAAAGTACCCTAATGGCATGGAGCTTCCAGCAGCCGTAGCCCAGAGGACCCCAAACTAGTATGCGTGCAGACTCCACTGGCCCTGTTCCCTGCTGACACAAGACAGCCGGTCTGTCAGCCAGGAGGCAGCCCACGCCCGCCTCCTTCCCACCTGTGCTTTCTCTGGTGAGGCTTCCCCTCCCTCCTCCCCTACCCATCCCCACACCCCCATAAACTCCCCGTTCCACGGAGGCTCAGGCCTCCACAAGGGCGTCCCTCCGCCCCTCCTCACTCCAGGGACCTCTGCCCCTCACTGGGACCCTCCTCACTGCCCCTCACTCGGCCCCTCATCTCTGCCCCCAAGTCCTGACTTGGTCCTGGTGACCACTTGGTCCACGGAGCTGATGCCTTAACACCCTGGCTCCCGAGCTCCTTGGAATCTTCAAACCAGTGGCCTTTGCCTGCACTCGCTTTGGTCACCAACGCCCAGGGTCACACGCAGGGCCCTGGTGTCACCTGGAACTGCTACTGCATCACTACCCCATCACTCCTGACCCTCAGCCTCTCCAGAACCACCCACCCTGTCACCCTCCATGCTCCGCCAGTATCGGAGCTGTCTGCTCACTCCGCACCCTTTCTGAAGTCTAGACTGAGCCTCGTGTACATCAGGCCAGTGACTTGCTCACCCCAGGTCCCCCGAACCCTGACCTCCTGAAGTAGCTACCCTGCAACCTCACATTACGGATCAATCCAGCTGTTTCCTTCTCCCCTTTCCCAGGCCACCAGACTCAGCCAGGCCCTCACCATGCTTGGCAGTCCCTCCACACGTCAGCACCTTGGACAGAGAGGACTCCTCTCCAGGGCTCCACCTGCCTACTGGATACTACATGTCTAAGACCAAACTCAGCCCCTCCTCCTGACAGTGTGAACTACACATCTGTTATGGATTGAATTATGTCCTCCAAAAATATGTGTTATAAATCTTAATTTCTGTGCTGGTGATCATAATCCCATTTGGGAATGGGTTGTCTTTGTTAATGAGACAGGATTAGTGTAGGGTATATCTTCAATCAATCTCTTTTGAGATATAGAAGAAATTAAGCAAGCAATGGAAAGAGCAGAGATATAGAAGAGATTAAACAAGCAAGTGAAAGAAGAGATGCAAAGCCCATGAAGATTGCCCGGGAGTTCAAAAGAGACATGGACCTTCTCCTCCATAGCCGATAGAAAAAAGAAAGCCTTCCCTGTGAGCTGGCACCCTGAATTCTGACTTCTAGCTTCCAAACTGTGATAAAATAAATTTCTGTTACAGCCTTCCACTTGTGACATTTCTGTTATAGCAGCAATAGATTACTAAGACAGAATTTGGTACTAGAAGACTGGGGTGCTGCCTTAACAGATACCTAAAATGTGGAAGCAGGTTTGGAATTGAGTAATGGGTAGAGGCTGGAAGAGTTTTAAGGTGCCTAACAGTAAAAGCCTAGATCTACTGTTGGTAGAAATGTGGACATCAAAGGCAGTTCTGGTGAGGGCTCAGAGGGAAGTAAAAAGAGCTACAGAGACAGTCTCTGCTGTCTGAGAGAATACATATGGCACCAGCAACAGAACGTGCATGTTAGATGTGCTTCTGGTGAGGCTTTAAAAGAAAATGATGAACATATGACTGGATAATGGAGAAACGATGATGCTTTTTATGCAGTGGCAAAGAACTTGTCTGAATTATGTTCAAATATTTAGTGGAAGGTAGAACTTATAAGTGATGAACTTGGATATCTGGCTGATATCTAAGCAAGATCTTAAAGGGGCCATGTGGTTTCTCCTTGTCACTTATAGTAAAACACAAGAGGAAAGAGATGGACTTAAAAATGAACTATGTAAAATGGAAAAAAACTTAAAGAGTTGGAAAATTGTGTTGTACAAACTAAAGACACGTGTCCTAGAATGTTCACCAAGGACATGGCTACACAAACTTTGCTTAAAGAAATTAAGCCTGTGATTGATGGATCTAACCAACTACCACAGCAGAAAACCCATCGCTTAGACTGAAGGTGACAGAGAAAGAATGAAAGGAGAGAACAATGTCTGCCTCTTGGAATTCTGCAAGTGGGAAACAGGCCAAAAGAGCTACATCTGTTGTCCTCCAAGAAAACAAAAGAACCATCCCTGGAGCAGCTTGGAGATCAGCAGAGCTGTTGGAAAGAGCATGGGAAGCAGGGTCTTCTGGGTTTCAAAGGGTGGGGCCACAGCCTCCTAGGTTTCAAAGAGTCAGATCGTTGCCAAGTCTGTTCTGGAGGGTGAGACTGCCGTTAAAGTGTGCCAGGGGGATGGGTCCACCACCCAAAGCTGAGGGTGGGGTTGCCATACCCAAAGGGCAGAATAGGGCCTGCCGGGGCCAAGAAGTGGGGGTTACCACTCAGATGTACTAGGATAATGGGGCTGCCTAAAGCCAAGGGAGTTGCTGTCCCAGCAGGCCTAGAAGGCAGAGGTGAAGCCCAGGGCCTAGGGCCCTCCATCCAGAATCTAGAGCGCATGGCCAGCACCCAGAGTCTGGAGGGTAGGGCCGTTGCCCAGATGGTCTCAGAGAACAGAAGATTATTTTCAAGCCTTGAGAGCTTATGTAATGTGTTCTGCTCGGTTTTGGACTTGCTTGTGCCTGTTATCCCTTCTTTTCCTCAAATTTCTCCCATTTGTAATGGAAATATCTACCTTGTGCCTGTTCTACCATTGTACTTTGGAAGCAGACAGCTTGTACTGTAAATTTCACATGTTCACAGATGCAGAGGAGTTTTGCTGCAGGATAGAATACATCTAAAGTCTCACCCATATTTGATTTAGATGCTTCAGAAGAGGAGATTTTAGGCTTGGAGTGGATTGAAGACTTTTGGGATGATGTGATGGAGCGAATGTGTTTTTTATGTGGCAAGGACATGAATTTTTGGGGGGGTGGGCAAAGGTGTATCTTAGTTATTTAATGCTGCTATATCAGAAATGCCACAAATGGATGGCTTTAAAAAACAGAAATTTGTTTTCTCACAGTTTAGGAGGCTAGACATCCCAATTCAGGGCGCCAGCTCTGGGAGAAGTGTTTCTATCTCTGTGGTTCTGGGGGAAGGTCCTTGTCTCATCTGAGCTTCTGCTACTGGGCCATCTTCATGTGGCTTGGCATTTCTCTTCCCCCATCTCTGCTACTTTTGATTGCTTGTTTAATCTCTTTTATATCTCTAAGAAATTGACTTAGACACACCCTACACTAATTTTATCTCATTAGCATAACAAAGACAACCCATTCCCAAATGGGATTATTACCACAGGCATAGAGGATTATTACCATAAGCATAGATTTACAACACATTGTCTTGGAAGAAATACAACCAGAATGCTCCGTAGAAGGAAGGTTGGCAGGACTATATCTTACATACTTTGGACATGTTGTCAGGAAGGATCAGTCCCTGGAGAAGGACATCATGTTTGGTAAAGCAGAGGGTCAGCGAAAAAGAGGAAGACCCTCAACGAGATGGACTGACACAGTGGCTGCAACAATGGGCTCAAGCAGAACAACAATTGTGAGCTTGGCGCAGGACCGGGCAGTGTTTCCTTCTGTGGTGCATAGGGTCGCTATGAGTCGGAACCGACTTCACGGCACCTAACAACAACAACATTGTTGGGGGACACAGTTCAATCCATAACAGGGTGGAATATTATGGATTGAATTATGTCGCCCCAAAATATGTGCTGTAAATCCTAATCTCTATGCCTGTGATCATAATCCCATTTGGGAAAGGGCTGTCTTTCTTAAGTTAATGAAGCAGGATTAGTAGAGGGTATATCCTGAGTCAATCTCTTTGGAGATATAAAAGAGATTAAACAAGCAAGCAGAGTAGAAATTAGGGTAGAGAGATGCCAAGCCACATGAAGACTGCCCAGGAGCAGAAGCTCAGAAGTGACAAGGACTTGGATTCCAGCTCACTGTGTGTCCTCAAAGCCCAGAGCAGAACCAGCATCGAGAAGGTCCTCAATAAATACAGGTAGTCCCCAACTTATGACAGGGTTCTGTTCTGATCGCTCCATCCTGTGTCGGTTCTGACATAAATATAATACCTCCATTTTCTTTTTAGTTTTCATTATTATTGCATTTTATTATCAGTATCTTTACAAATCTGATCTTTGTCTTTGGGAGCTGGCATGAGAACAGTAACATCAGCAAATTACCTGCTGTAACACTGTGTGTAGTACATATTACTAACAATGAAATGTGCAAAAAAAAAAGGATGTTGTAAGTGCGGTTTGTTGTAACTTGAATACGTCGTAAGTCAGGGACTACCTGTACTTGATAACTGAGTCAGTCACCCCATTTCATTCTAGCAATCCTAGACCTGGTCTACCTGGTCTACTTCCTTTGTAAATTGTGGCTGCTTGAAATTCCACAGCTATCCTGGGTGTGACGTTACGTGTATTTATTCCACTTACCACCACAGGTTGAAGTGAAACAATTCTGCAAACAATCTCTGCAGACAAGGCTGGCATCTCAGAAAACTTTGGGTTTTTTGTGATTTTGCAGATGGTTTCGTGAAGGTTCAAACAGACGGTCAAGTAGGACTGTAAGAAGGGCTCCACAGGAACACTGTCACACAAAGAGTTGAGAGAAATTACTGATTGAGGAGAAATGAGAAAACCACACCTATTATGGATGACACGTTCCTTCCCTTTAAAATACCAACAAGTGAGGCATTTATTGGCGGCCTGGTGGCACAGTGCTTGAAGCACCCGGATGCTAACTGAAAGGTCATCAGTTTGAACCCAGAAGCTGCGTAAGATGTGGCAGTCTATTTCCATAAAGATTACAGGTGGTCCCCAGATTACGAACGAGTTCTGTTCCTAAATCTGTCTTTAACTTGAATTTGTGTGTAAGTTGGAACAGTTAGGTATAGTTCATATCTAACCTAAGTTAGTTAACTGTTTGTCTTAGTATAGAACATATAGTGTACCTTTCTATGTATAAAAATTATTAAAGAAACACTTCCAGATACACTAAAATATCTTTAACATAATACAGTAATAACAATAATAATGTTCTGATGCACACTGCAAAGTAGCCCCCATTTGTTATTACATAGTATGTACCTCGAATTTTTAATATAATAGGCTTTAAGGGGGTTCGTTTGTAACAATGGGTTGTACATAAGTCAGACGTTCATCACCTGGGGGCTGCCTGAACAGCCTTGGAAACACTATGGGGCAGTTCTAAACCAAAACCAAGAACAAAACCCATTGCCATCGAGTCGATTCCCACTCGTAGCAACCCTATACTCTGTCCTATAGGGTTGCTGTGAGTGGGAATCGACTCCATGGCAACAGGTTGGGTTTTGATTTAACCAAAAGGCATTTACTTGACCTCATGTAGAGTAACATCTGGAAAATGCCAATCAGACCTGAACTTGTGACTAAGTTAAAAAGGAAACAAAATCCCTTTGGTTTGCCTCTGTTGTCCGAACTGCTCTTAAAAAAGCAAAGAGCAAGTTAAAATATTTCTAACAGCATTCCTTTATTTGAAAACCAGTAAGGCGTATATATTATTAAAGATGAAAATACTACATTAACTTGAAAAAAAAGATTCAGAAAGATATAGGGAGGGAGGGAGAAGTGCTAGAAGAACATATACTGTGCACGGAATTTCCTGGGACCAGAGTGGACAGTTTCACGTTAGTTGACTGACATAGGGGCAGCATTGAACTAGTGAGGTGGTGATGGTCTGAGCTTAGGATGCCGTACCAGAAAGGGGCCCTGGGGCTCACCTGCAGGGCTTCGAACTGGAACATTCCAGTTCGAACCCTTGCTGAGAATTTGCATTTCTAACAAGTTCCCAGGTGATGCTAATGCTGTTGGTTCCGGACCTATTTTGAGAACCACTAGTAGAGCAGTGGTTCTCAAAACTTGTTATATGTAAGAATCACTTAGGATTTTGTTAAAAATGTAGATTCTGATTCAGTATATCTGGAGTGGAAATGCAAATTCTCAGTAGGGGTTTGAACCGGAACGAACTGTTTCAAAGACCTACTCACTTGTTAAGCCACAGTGTTCGGTGAGGTCCCCGAATGGTCACTGGTGCTTTACATGAATGAGATTTCACACTACCACCTGCATCCTTAACATCCAAGCTCTTAAGTGAAATAATACTGGAAGTGCTGCGAGAATCTCGGAAAACACCCCATCACCCGTCCGGCAGATTCCTATTGGTCTGCATTCTCTACTGCATGCCTTCCAGAATAAACTGTTGCTGGCTAGTCGATTCCGACTCGTAGAGACCCTGTAGGACAGAGTAGAACTGCCCCATAGGGTATCCAAAGCTGTAGTCTTTACGGAAGCAGACTGCTACATCTTTCTCCCATAGAGCAGCTGGTGAGTTCCATCCGCCGACATCACTGCCCCACTAGGGCTCCTTAATGTCCATTTACGGTGTCAGAAATCAAATAAATTTGCAGGAGCAAATGATTTCAGATAATTCTCTAAAGCTACCTTTGATTTTGATTTTAAACTGACCGGCTTACAAAGAGCATATAAAGACTCAGCGTTAAAGGAAGGCAGAATGCAAGCATGAGTACGCAACAGGACGGCCGTCCCTGAGAAAGAAGTGAAGATAGATGGCACCGAGAAGAAAAGACCAGGTGGAAATTAACCGAAATCTTAGCAGCTGACGGCTATTCTTTTCCCCTTTTTAAAAGCTAGCAGGGTTACATTAATAACTTAACAAGAGAAACGGGCTGTATATTGATTTAGGACCCCCCTATTAGGACAGCTCTGGGGGCACAGGGGTTAAGAGATTGGCTGCTAACCAAAAGGTCAGCAGTTCGAATCCACCAGCCGCTCCTTGGAAACCCTCTGGGGCAGTTCTACTCTGTCCTGTAGGGTGGCCATGAGTCAGAATAAACTCGAAAGCAATGGGTTTGTTTTTTTTTGTTTTTTTTTTTAATGACAGCCAGTGTGGACATTGTCGACCTAACAGCAAGTAACCGCTGAGACCCCTGGGACTGTGGGGGAGCCACAGAGATGACACTTGGCTTCTCTACTTACGTGTTCAGATCAGCTTCCAGGAGGTGCAACAGCATTTTTAAAGCTTTCTCAATATTCTAGGGTGGTGAAGAAAAGAACAACAGGAAAACAGATATCATCACGATGCCACTGTCTCTGCTAAAACACAGCTCAAAAAAATCCAACATTAATGATGTACAAATTTCTTTCTTTCTATAAACAGATGTCAGAGTTCTAAAGTACTAGCCTTATGTCTTTCACAAATACAATTAAGGGCTAAAAATTATACCATTTTCTCCACCCAAAAATGTGAAAGGAAAAGCAACAACGATGAAGTGTACTAGCCCTCACAGTGACTACTTATCCTGCTGCACAGTCAGAAGGAACAACAGACTATTGTTTTAGTGAAGTTCCTGGGTGAGGCAAACAGTTAACATACTCGGCTGCTCACCAGAAGGTTGAAGGAAGTTCACCCAGAGGTGCCTTAGAAGAAAGGCCTGGTGATCTACTTATGAAAAATCAGCCACTGAAAACCCCATGGAGCACCGTTCTACTCTGACACACATGGGGACGCCACGAGTCAGAGTCAAGTCAACAGCCACTGGTTAGTGCTTTATTGAACTCTATTTACTAAAATAAAATAAACTCAGTTCAATCCTTTGGCCTTACTCATAGTGACCTCTGCTGGCTCTCTCGTTTCTAAGTGCTTTACCCCGTCACTTTTCAGAAAAGCAGAATCACAAACTCAGAATGTTTGGTTTTCAGTCTTGCTAAGCAAGGGAGCAGTAGCCCGCTGCAGATAACAAACCTCCAGATTTCTGTGCGAGATTTCCTTAAGTCCTCCAAGCCGGTAGTAAACCCCTAGGAAGCAGTCCAGGAAATGAGCAGGGGAAGCCGCCAGGTATGGAACCAAGGTCCTCATGTAGTCAGCCAGGTCACGCAGAGGCAGCAGACTGAACCAGGATCGGAACAGACAGCCGTCCACGTTCAGCAAATGCTGATTGCTTTCCATGAGCTGAAGAAGTTGATTCCTGGAGAAGAGAAAACAGGAGTAGAAAAGAGGGCAGCCGTGAGGTCCGTGAAGCAGACTGAGCTTAGATAAAGTAACATGACGTGAGAAGATCTAGAGCGCTCAGATCTCAAACGTTGTTTCAGTGCTAAGTGGAAAACACAAATAAGTAGCAGGTCAGAAGAAAACAGTAGCAATTAAGAGTTCACCGAGAATTAAACACTTTGATGAATGAGTGAGTGTGCGTCCTGGACCAGACAACCCATGTGAAGGTCTTTAAACTGTGCCGGTTCTACAGCATTGTACTGGACACCCAAAACGATGACAACGTAAGCGGGGTGCCGCAGAAGTGTCAGAGGCTACGAAGAACATCTCCATCAAGGTCCGCTGAACAGGAAGGGCCACTTGTGCCTGAAAGACAGCATCTGTAGGACCACTGCTAGCGTTTAGCACTGTCCACTGGCAGCAGTTACACTTCTTCTCTGTGTCTGTGCACCCCTGAAGGGCACGGAATACATGCAGCTGTGTAAATGACTTTAATTTGGCTTTAATCTCAAAAGAGTCCAGTAATAGCAAAGAAACAAGAACTTAATTTAGCTCACTAATTTAATCCCTAAAAATCTGTAGGCTAGAACGTACTTACTGGTCTGATCTTTCTTCCCGAAACTGTGAGAAGGAGAGGCCTTCGAGGGCTGCCCACGTGTCCTCAGGCGGGATGTCCTTCCCTTGGGGGGCCAGCCCCATGCAGTGGTGCAGCACCGGGAGCGTGAGGACCCAGCAGTCCTTGCTTGGGTACATGCACCTCCGGCACAGGTTTACCAGGTACCTTCTCCAGCTAGAAAGGGAAGAAAGCATGCCA